ACATTCAAAACTAAAAAGAAAATCCCTCAATATATAGGAACGACACAGAGATGAAGATTAGCATGGCCCCTGCGCAAGGACGCGCATAAATCGAGAAAAAAAAAAGAAATGGGGCAGGAGCGGGCCGTGAGCACTGACATGGGGGACTTCTCCGCCACGTGGCGCGTGGTGATTCAACCCGCCACGTCAGCGCCACTTGGCATGCAAATTCGGCAGCACAAAGCCGTCCACGTCGCATTCCACATCGCCATCTAGTCATGCAATTGCATCGCCAGTGGCACGCAAATTCGGCAGCACAAAGCCGTCCACGTGGCATTCAACCTCGCCGTCAAGTCATTCGATTGCATTGCCACGCGGCATGCAAATTCGGCAGCACAACGCCGTCCACGTGGCATTCAACATCGCCATGAAGTCTTTCAATTTCTATCGCCTTGTGGCATGCACATTCGGCAGCACAAAGCCGTCCACGTGGCGATGCAATTGAATGGCGTCAAGTCATTCAATAGCCACGTGGCACTCAGTTACTCCATTGCCACGCGGCATGCAAATTCGGCAGCACAACGCCGTCCACGTGGCATTCAACATCGCCATGAAGTCATTCAATTTCTATCGCCTTGTGGCATGCACATTCGGCAGCACAAAGCCGTCCACGTGGCAATGCAATTGAATGGCGTCAAGTCATTCAATAGCCACGTGGCATTCAGTTACTCCATCACTACTCGTCAAGACGTACAGACAGCCTCAATCCTTGCTAACCCATAACTGCCAAAAGAAAACCATCACCTGCTCGTGAGAACAGCACGCAATCCGTTTCCCTCTCCCCTCTTCTCCTATCAACCCCGCATCCATCCACACCTACATCACCCCCAGTATCACTACGACACTAGCACCATCTTCGTCCCCGTTAATTGCCTTCGTCCATCTTCGTCCCCATTAATTACCTTTGACTACCTTCGTCCATCGTCGTCCCCATTAATTACCTCCGTCCATCTTTGGACCCGTTAATTACCTTCGTCCATCATCCCTCTCATTAATTACCTTCGTCCATCTTCGTCCGCGCGTTTTGAGTAACGGAACACGTGGCTGTATCATATGGTTTCCACCTAATTTTGTCCTGTTCAGAAGCAAGTGTTGGCGACTGCTTTGCCTTCCTTCTTTCCTTGCCGCCACCACCACCGTCGTCTTCATCACCATGATCCCATCAATCATCATTGCCGTCGTCTTCATCACAACAATCGCCATCGCAAGTGCCATCATTGCTCCTCATCAACATCGTCGACTGCATCATCATCATCATCATCATCAACGTTCTCGTAAAGTTGCCGACGTCAACCTCGGCACCATCATCGACTGCTTTGCTCCGTCGTCATTACCGTTGTCGGCAAAGCCATTCTCGCTGCTCTCACCTTCGTCACTATCTCGATCTTTGTTATCCTCCGGAGAGAGAGAGAGAGCGGGAGAGGGAGAGAAAGAGGGGGAGAGAGAGAGAGAGAGGGAGAAACGGCACCCATTGATTGGTTCTTGTCCAGACTACCGTCGTTGTCGTCGTCGGTGTCGATGTTGAGAGCATCAGCACCGGAAGTCGCAGTCACCATCAACATCATCGACATTATCCCCTTCAAGCATCATCATCAAGCATTCACCACGTGACCATCGTCAACGACACCATAACCAACACAGTCATTATTATCATCGTCACCGCCCCGATCATCTCGTTACCATTGGTCATGTCATCGTCATCACACGAGTCATCACCGTGAGGAGATCAGTGTTGTCGTTTTCCCATACTTCCGAGGCCAACAGGATCGTTCTTTACTGTCAGCATAGCCTGTCCTCAACGTTGCAAAGGTCGGAATGCACAGAAAACGTTGTCTGCGCTCTCTATTTCACCTTTCGTGCCCGTTCGTGTTTGTGTTTGTCTGTGTGTCTGTGTCTGTGTCTGCATGTGTGTGAGCGTGTGTTCATGGCTGTGGATGTGGCTGTGGCTGCGCATTGTGTCATGCGCTTTTGTACAACTTTCATTCGACTTTCACCGACCTTGAACGCGTATCTGACTGTAGGTTTTCTGTCTTGTGTGTGCGTGTTTGTGTGTGCGTTGTCATGTTCGCTATACACAACTCCACCTGTGCCAGACTGTTTCGTCGGACTGTGACCGACTCGTCCGGAGGTTGAACCTGGACAGACAGTCTGCCCAGGATACATTTGACTGATGGATAAGGACTCGCCTCATCGCCCAGAGTTAGCACAACCTCCGAGAAAAGTACGCGTGTGTGTGTGTGTGTGTGTGTGTGTGTGTGTGTGTGTGTGTGTGTGTGAGTGTGTGTGTGTGTGGTTGTGTGTGTGTGTGTCTGTCAGCGGATGCATGTGACGTTCGGAGGACCTTAAGCAGATATTCGCCAAAGAAAGCCATTCCGCTAAACAAGGGGTAGGTGAACTGCCCGTCTCCAACCCCTCGACACTAAGGGGGGCTGACGGAGGGAGAGGGGGGGGGGGGGGGGGGGGGTGGGGGGTGGAAAACAAACAAGAAGAGGGACTACAATCCCATGTGTAAGACCCTCCACTTCTGCGCGAGTGTTTGTGGTGTGTTGTGTATTCGTCAAATACAACTCCAC